AATTTTCGGAACATTTGTTGTAATATTTCTTGCTTGCCTGCCTCTCATAGGATTTTCGAACATCTAAAAAATGGTATAACTGCTTATTTTTAACGGATTTTTACCCTAAAAAGGTCACCTAGAATTTTCGGGAGCCTTTTTTCTGGCTGGAATTTTCGAAAAGGTAAGTTTTGATCCCTACAATTTTCGGATCATTAGACTTTCAGCTAGGAAATCCGAACAGATGAAAAATTTTTAGAGGATAAAAATATGCCTATATCTACCGTTTAAATACTAAAATACATTTAACAATGCTATGTTTAAGTGGTTTTGACCTATATTCTCGTTGGGTGCCCCTGCTGCATGTCAAGAAAAAATTCTTCCACAAACCAAATCACCCATACCCCAACCCCCACTTCCCCAGCCACTGGCCACTGTCTTTTCATGCTTACACCTATCTTCAAGCTTAAGGAATGATAAATAAACATAGGGTGAATCGATGTCGGTCCAGGAGAACTGCCATCAGCGAATCAACTTTTGGGAGAAAAGACCTGTTACCCATTAACCATCTGCTGGTAAAAATTTGTTGATTAATTTTAATTAATCATTTAGTAAACTGTGGGCAAAACAAAGGTTATTTTGTGGTTGGGTCTTGGATGCTTTTACCTTGTTCACTAGGGGAGCCCTCGCTCTTTCCATAACCTCTGTACTCCACCAGAAAAACATTACAACCACAATAACTATACCAACTTCTTGCATTTGCTAATCTATGACCAATGTTGCCAGCATTGCCATGGAAAAACAACACAGTAGGAACAGAGCTCTGAAACTGAGGAGAATGTTTCAGAAACACAGCATTAATTTTCAGGCCATCTTGTGTCTTGAGGTACAAATTCTCAAATGGAAAGCCCAGAATTGCTGGATTTTGAACATAGACTCTTGATGTGACAGGCTGTTCTGGGAAGTAGAGAAGTGTGTCTTGGTAATGATACAAAGCGCCAAATACGGCTGCAGTTAATAACAAGAAGCTAACGACTCCTCCGTAAAGCCAGTAGAGAAGAAGCAACGTCAACATTGCTGCACTACAAAATCTCCAAAATCGAAGGACCACATGTAAGACAAGACGTCCAATGGTTTCAATTGTTTTGAATCCAGTGTGTTGAAGCGATTGCTTAGTTTTAGGCATTGCTTGATCCCCTTCAGACATCAGGAACAATAAGGTTAAGTGTTTGAACGATAAGCTTTTAAAATGCTAATATTTGCGAGTTACGTAGCTTTGTAGACTTGCAGGGAAATAAGACCAAATAAGCTTTATAATACTATTCCATAGATTTATAAGAAGACAGTTCCATTGATGCTCTACAGTTATACAGCTGCGAATAACTGCGACAACTCCTAGGATAAAATCGGTGATCAACCGAAAAATGGTAATAGTAGAACGAAACAGGAATAATAATTCATAACTTCGAAGTCCAATTTGGGCGCCATGTTTTTTCGACTTAGTGGGGCACTGGAACCCGGGAACCCACGGTCATGTGTTGTGAAAAAGACTGGACACTAGTTTTAGATCACCAGGTTACCAAGGTAGCAACGCTGCAAGATAAATAAGAGTTGGAGAAGGTTTAAACAGTTCTTGGACAAAATTTGTTAGTTTTTTTCTTTATAATTAAAAACATGAACCCGCATGAAGAAGAGGAGGACGAAGGCCCATCTGTAGACTCTGCAATTGCCGAGGAACGTATAGCAGCCCGAAGAATACGAATACAGAGACGATTGGAAGCTGCGAAAAGGTTGCCTTGAGTTTATCTTATTTGTCCGTTAAACTTGTATTTTATGTGTATTACGTACCATTGTTAAGTTAGTTAATGTAATTTTAACGTCTAGAGAAGCAAGTGGGGAAGATGCCGCAAAAAAGAAGCCCGTGGACTCGGAAAAAGATGCACTCAAAAAGGGGGGGGGGGGGGGGGGGGGGGCACTCCCATACATTACCTATATGGGTATGTGCCGCCTAACGGGGTCGTGATTTTGAAGCTCCTGATTTAGAACGGGGTATCCATTTCAGAGGCGTTTTCTAGAATGGGGTAGAATATTTTGAACGTACGAAAGCACCAGTTTTGTAAGGAGCAATTTGAAATTATTCAAGGACAGATTGCTTTTTAAAAATACTGTTCAATGCGTTAACAAGCAAACTGTTGTACTCTTGTTGCACCCTATAGAACGGAGTATAAAAAATTGGCCCATTTCTAGAATGGGGTATCAGTTTTAGGGCGAATTCTAGAACGGGGTATAAAAAACTGGCCCATTTCTAGAATGGGGTATCAATTTTAGGGGAAATTTTTTTTAGAATGGGGTGCCAATTTGGAGTCCCGGGCGACACATACCCACCGAAAAAATACCCAAGAGCCCCCCCCCTGGGGGTATACCAGTATTAGTCAGTCACAAGAGCTAGTCAAACGTTAAGGGTTCAACTAAATATGGCTTGGGTGCTATTAGTTTTTGGGCATGATCATGGCTAAAACAAAGTGTGAAACAGACATTAATCAGACTCATGTAACCAAGGTTTACCTTATTTCTGAAGCAGAAGTAAGGTAGCTTGCTAAGTCCATTCATGACAAGTTGATTAGCCATGCTAGGGATGCTAGTGAAGGTGTTCTCTACGATCAGAGCAAATGCTTTGTCGAGATAAAGTTCATTTGATGCAAGAGAAATTGCCACTGCTCCACCCAAGGATCGTCCAAATATAACAATCTTGTTTGTGTCTATGTCAGTGCGTGACATCAGATATGAAAATGCAGCTTCTGAGTCCAGCTCAAAACCTTCAATAAATCGACAATATATTATTTAAGAATGAAACACTGAAATTCATCATATATGGATCAATGGTAAATTGATCAGTAATGGCAAAGAGATTTACAGTGTGTTGGGTTTTCCACTCAGAAGTACACTGGGTATAAAAATTAGCATTTTTATCTCAATTTCCTATTCAACAATATTGAACATGTTAAAACACCTACTGTCCCAAAGTCAATGTTTAACACCCTTGCAACACTGCACAACTCAATATCAAAGATATTTTTTAGTTAAGCTTGGATTCTATTGCTAAGAACGATCTAATGAGGGGGCGACCATTTGACTTTTGAAGGGGGGGGGGAGGGTATGGGTGATTTCAGAAAAAAAATCCTGCAGACTGTTTTTAAGGAGAAAAAATTCTTGCCAGGGAATACCTGGCAAAAAAAAATCCTACACTGAAAAAAAATAATCTTTCATGACATATAGTGCTAGATAAAAAAAATCCTTCACCGCTGCATCAGGGGCACCCAACGACAATTTTCGGAAAATATCTGTTCGGAAGACGATTTGAGATCTAGAATTTTCGGAACATTTGTTGTAATATTTCTTGCTTGCCTGCCTCTCATAGGATTTTCGAACATCTAAAAAATGGTATAACTGCTTATTTTTAACGGATTTTTACCCTAAAAAGGTCACCTAGAATTTTCGGGAGCCTTTTTTCTGGCTGGAATTTTCGAAAAGGTAAGTTTTGATCCCTACAATTTTCGGATCATTAGACTTTCAGCTAGGAAATCCGAACAGATGAAAAATTTTTAGAGGATAAAAATATGCCTATATCTACCGTTTAAATACTAAAATACATTTAACAATGCTATGTTTAAGTGGTTTTGACCTATATTCTCGTTGGGTGCCCCTGCTGCATGTCAAGAAAAAATTCTTCCACAAACCAAATCACCCATACCCCAACCCCCACTTCCCCAGCCACTGGCCACTGTCTTTTCATGCTTACACCTATCTTCAAGCTTAAGGAATGATAAATAAACATAGGGTGAATCGATGTCGGTCCAGGAGAACTGCCATCAGCGAATCAACTTTTGGGAGAAAAGACCTGTTACCCATTAACCATCTGCTGGTAAAAATTTGTTGATTAATTTTAATTAATCATTTAGTAAACTGTGGGCAAAACAAAGGTTATTTTGTGGTTGGGTCTTGGATGCTTTTACCTTGTTCACTAGGGGAGCCCTCGCTCTTTCCATAACCTCTGTACTCCACCAGAAAAACATTACAACCACAATAACTATACCAACTTCTTGCATTTGCTAATCTATGACCAATGTTGCCAGCATTGCCATGGAAAAACAACACAGTAGGAACAGAGCTCTGAAACTGAGGAGAATGTTTCAGAAACACAGCATTAATTTTCAGGCCATCTTGTGTCTTGAGGTACAAATTCTCAAATGGAAAGCCCAGAATTGCTGGATTTTGAACATAGACTCTTGATGTGACAGGCTGTTCTGGGAAGTAGAGAAGTGTGTCTTGGTAATGATACAAAGCGCCAAATACGGCTGCAGTTAATAACAAGAAGCTAACGACTCCTCCGTAAAGCCAGTAGAGAAGAAGCAACGTCAACATTGCTGCACTACAAAATCTCCAAAATCGAAGGACCACATGTAAGACAAGACGTCCAATGGTTTCAATTGTTTTGAATCCAGTGTGTTGAAGCGATTGCTTAGTTTTAGGCATTGCTTGATCCCCTTCAGACATCAGGAACAATAAGGTTAAGTGTTTGAACGATAAGCTTTTAAAATGCTAATATTTGCGAGTTACGTAGCTTTGTAGACTTGCAGGGAAATAAGACCAAATAAGCTTTATAATACTATTCCATAGATTTATAAGAAGACAGTTCCATTGATGCTCTACAGTTATACAGCTGCGAATAACTGCGACAACTCCTAGGATAAAATCGGTGATCAACCGAAAAATGGTAATAGTAGAACGAAACAGGAATAATAATTCATAACTTCGAAGTCCAATTTGGGCGCCATGTTTTTTCGACTTAGTGGGGCACTGGAACCCGGGAACCCACGGTCATGTGTTGTGAAAAAGACTGGACACTAGTTTTAGATCACCAGGTTACCAAGGTAGCAACGCTGCAAGATAAATAAGAGTTGGAGAAGGTTTAAACAGTTCTTGGACAAAATTTGTTAGTTTTTTTCTTTATAATTAAAAACATGAACCCGCATGAAGAAGAGGAGGACGAAGGCCCATCTGTAGACTCTGCAATTGCCGAGGAACGTATAGCAGCCCGAAGAATACGAATACAGAGACGATTGGAAGCTGCGAAAAGGTTGCCTTAAGTTAATCTTATTTGTCCTTTAAACTTGTATTTTATGTGTATTACGTACCATTGTTAAGTTAGTTAATGTAATTTTAACGTCTAGAGAAGCAAGTGGGGAAGATGCCGCAAAAAAGAAGCCCGTGGACTCGGAAAAAGATGCACTCAAAAGTCGAAAACAAATGGAAGATAGCCGGCAGGTGACTGACAAGAATAGTGTATTTATTTGTAATCTTTAAAATGACTCAAAAGACAAGGAAATCCTCATACTGACGAACATAAACATGTCACTGAGGCCTGGTTCAGACGCTGCTCCACTTATGTGCAGAACCTACGTGTAACTGATGAATTAAGTACTGCAAAAGAGTGGCGTCTGAATCAATCAGGGGCACCCAACGAGGATATAGTTCAAAACCACTTAACATAGCATTGTTGAACGTATTTTAGTATTCAAACGGTAGATATAGACGTATTTTTATCCCCTAAAAACTTTTCATCTGTTCGGATTTCCTAGCTGAAAGTCTAGTGATCCGAAAATTATAGGGATAAAAACTTACCTTCTGGGAAATTTCAGCCAGGAAAAGGCTCCCGAAAATTCTAGGTGACCTTTTGTTGGGTCAAAATCCGTTAAAAATGGGTAATTATACCATTTTGTAGATGTTCGAAAGTCCTAGGAGAGGCAGGCAAGCAAGAAATTTTACAACAAATGCTCCGAAAATTCTAGATCTCAAATCGTCTTCCGAACAGATATTTTCCCGAAAATTGCCGTTGGGTGCCCCTGATCAATTAGGTACAGCAGTTTTAGTTTAGTGCGAGAAAAGCGTTAAGTTTGACAGAGTCTGTCGAACTTTTGTCAAACTTAACTTGGGCGAGACACACGGTGTGCCATCTGAATCAGATGTCACACCAGTGTCACTCCACGTCAAACTTATTCAGTTAGGTTCGGCATATATAAAGTACGGCCTCTGAACCAGGCCTGAGTGATTTTTTTTAAGTACCAGGCATTTCTGGAGGAAAAGGAGTAAGAGTGAAGTGAACAGCCAAGAGAGAGAAACTTCTCCTCTTTCTCCCCTCCCCCCTCCCCCCTCCCCCGTCTAAAATCTCCTCTCCCTTAAGCCCCAAGGGAGACCTGATACTCGGGCTACTGAGTGATTCGTGAGAGTATGTTAAAGTATGTGATGACTTTTTCTTTGGAAAATGCTTTTTGTTGTCAGATCTAATGGTGATTTGATTTTAGTGCAGTTTTTATTTATCTCTCCTACAACTGAGGATTTACTTGAGACCCTCAACTGCATTGTGACAAAATTTTTTTAAGCCTTTTTGCAAGCAACAATTTATAAAGACTTTTTAGCAGATGGTTTTAAGTGTAACTGTTGTCAGAGCTGTCACTGAAGGCTGGGGCCAAGGATTTCCCCAGCAACTTTCAAAGGAAATAAGAGGAAAACAGAACAATAAGAACTTTCATTGCAGCTATTTGATTTTTGATCCTGCCTGACTATTAAATAATTGTATATATTGAACAACTAGAAATCTCAGTGACAGCTCTGTATCACTTATCCAACTCAGGTGCAGTCAATATTATTTGATTGTACTTGATTTGAAGCAGAGATACGGATTTGAGCTGTTTCGTACCAATGAAGTAATAGCAAAAGAGGAAATAAAATTTAAAAATGTGTGAATTACCTCTGCAAAATGGGTGATTCCAAAAACTATCCTTACCGTACTATGGATGGCTTTTTGTAATTCCAAGGGCAATGTCAGGGGGTGGGGGGAGGTTGAACTGGAAATTCGAAGGTGTGGTGAGATACTTAGGATTGGAATTCAAAGGCATGAGGGATTAGATCTGGAATTTCCACAGGGGACAGACAAGAGTGTATTCCTTGAAAGCGCTTATTTTATGGCTTTAATCAATGCAAATAAAGTGCAAACTGATGGCACTGGTGGTTGTTAGCACTTGTTTTTGTTTTGTCTGGGTTAAAACATGTGAAATGCAAATTCAAGCAAAAGTGCTAAAACTTCTGACAGCATCAGTGAGTATTCAAAGAAGTTGGGTTATACAGATAATTATTAGTTACATTATGGTAATGGTTTCTTGACTTCCTGGTTGTAGCGTTTGGTCAAGCTCAAATCTGATGGCACAGAACTGGTGACCAATGTACATGTTGCAGCTGATGCAAGGGAATCTATGAGGAGATTGGAAGAGGAAGAACAACGGAGACAAAGGTTACTCAATTGTTTCACAAAAAATTATTTAGAATTGACCCCTGTGGTTCAACTGTTTTTATAACTTAACTTGCAACTCTATTAGACTTCATATATTTCTTCAGGAATTGATGATAGAAGTAATATTGTACATGATTTTTTTGTTATTATTTTTTTCCTTATTTTTCAGGAATGAGAAACTGGAAGCAGAGGCAAAATCTGCTACAGAAAAATTTGAGGAGGTAAGTCCTTGTTTTGTTTTAGTCTTTTTAGTCTTGTTACATAAAATGTTTTGTGTTATTTTAAAGTCGTTTCTGGAGGCCGATTTCTAAACACAAGGTGGCAGTTGCCACTCTCACCTCTTTTGTCTCTAACTGACTTTTGGCACCCTTGGCACTACGAACACATTATGAAGGTGCACTTATACATGTAGCTTGTTATAAGCCTTTATGTGCTGAATAATTATTTAAAAATAAATGTCTGTTTGATTCACTGATTTGTTAGAATTTTTATGTATTAGTTGTAAGGTTCCAAAAATCTGGTGATTGTGTGCTGTGTATTGCCATGCTGACTGTTTTACGTCATCTCCTGTTACCAGGTTACCAAAAAATGGGAATATGCTCTTTCTAAAGAAATACCACAGGACTTAAATGGAGTGAGTATCNAAGCTCAAATCTGATGGCACAGAACTGGTGACCAATGTACATGTTGCAGCTGATGCAAGGGAATCTATGAGGAGATTGGAAGAGGAAGAACAACGGAGACAAAGGTTACTCAATTGTTTCACAAAAAATTATTTAGAATTGACCCCTGTGGTTCAACTGTTTTTATAACTTAACTTGCAACTCTATTAGACTTCATATATTTCTTCAGGAATTGATGATAGAAGTAATATTGTACATGATTTTTTTGTTATTATTTTTTTCCTTATTTTTCAGGAATGAGAAACTGGAAGCAGAGGCAAAATCTGCTACAGAAAAATTTGAGGAGGTAAGTCCTTGTTTTGTTTTAGTCTTTTTAGTCTTGTTACATAAAATGTTTTGTGTTATTTTAAAGTCGTTTCTGGAGGCCGATTTCTAAACACAAGGTGGCAGTTGCCACTCTCACCTCTTTTGTCTCTAACTGACTTTTGGCACCCTTGGCACTACGAACACATTATGAAGGTGCACTTATACATGTAGCTTGTTATAAGCCTTTATGTGCTGAATAATTATTTAAAAATAAATGTCTGTTTGATTCACTGATTTGTTAGAATTTTTATGTATTAGTTGTAAGGTTCCAAAAATCTGGTGATTGTGTGCTGTGTATTGCCATGCTGACTGTTTTACGTCATCTCCTGTTACCAGGTTACCAAAAAATGGGAATATGCTCTTTCTAAAGAAATACCACAGGACTTAAATGGAGTGAGTATCGATCACAATGAGTTTAGCAACAGCAGAGTTGCAGTATCTTGATTTGATCATTAAAAGAGTGTAGAATGGTGTTTTTTGATAGGTGCACTTATTCATTAATTTTTGTGTACCTTGTAGATGCTGATGGAACAAAAAAGTGCATGCGATAGCATGATAGATGAAAAGAACAAGCTCATCCATGATTTTCAGCAGGTTTGTGAGCTTGTTTCTAATTTATTAGTTATTCATTTTTAATAATATTGTTGATAAAGTTGGTTACGGCTTGGAGGCTATAAAAAACTTAGCCGAGACTTGATTCATAAAGAAATGTCACTGATCAAAAATGGAGCCTTGAAAAAAATACTACACAGTTCCACTTCTTCTTTGTTAGATACTCTGTTTAGGGAAGCAAGGGCAAAAATGCATCCCTTTCAACAGCATATCACTATATAATACCGTGGTGGATCCAGGGGAGCCCCCCCCCCCCTTATTTTTAGACCAAACTGAGGCCCAAAGGGCCGAAAAAAATTTTTTGGGGAGATCAGCCCCCGCTCCCTTATTTAAGGGTCTGGATGACCGCCCCCCGCTACTTATCTCAAGGTCTGGATCTGGCACTATAATAAATACAAGCTAAGTTTGTGCCCCACTCCCAACCCTAGAGTTAAAAAGTAAAAAATTCTCTTATATTGTTATTCATTTTTTCTAGGAACTCAAGTCCAAAGACGACCAGTATGTTAAAGACTTAAAGAAGGCTGTAAGTTTTCTTCTTTAAAACACCAAGAAAAAATTGTGGTTTCCTTGTTTGTTTCTCTAGGAGCACTGTAAGTACATGTGATTTATCTTACTGGGAATAAATGCACCGTGAATCACCCATGATGTAAAGATTTGGAATAAGTTTAAGAAATGATCCTTGATCCTTGCAGTGATATACACAAATGAAGAAATTTCTTTGATATATACAATGTAGGCCTGGAAGAAATGTTCAACCACAGAAAAGCTGATTTGCAAGGCAAAGACTGTTCAAGCATCAAGAAGTGTTTTCAGTGATTTTTCTTTCTCCCAAACTATTATCACAACAGGGGTCATACAATCTTGAAAAGGTCTTGAATTGTGGTAGTTGTGTTGAAAAGTCCTTGAAATTCACTACCTTGTCTAAGCCAGACATCCGTTTTCTGTAAAATTAGATTATTTCGCTGAGGAAAATCTGGCTCATCCCTTGTGTAAGAAACTACATGTATAAAACTCCCGCGGAACTTGAAAACATATTTGTGCTTGAACAATATTTTATTTCTGTTTCTTTACTGTTGTTGCTGAAGTTGTTGCCTTGTTTCTTTTCTGTTTCAAATGCTATTTCTGTACCTTAGATGCAGTTGCAAGTCATACCTGGTCATTTTTCCTTGATGTTTTTTAGCCAATAAGGTGTTCAAAAGGGGGATAAAGAATGCTGATTTTTTGAATAAATCTTTGTCCTTCAAAACTGTGATTTGTCCTTGAAAAATCCTTGAAAAGTCCTTGAAATTTGTTTGTCTGAAGTTGTACGAACCATGTTATTTGATTTCATATCCAAGGCTATAATGTACCTGATTTTCTATTGCATTAACATGTACCGCACCTTACTTCACAGTGTTGCAAACATTGCAGGATAATTCATGTATCTCCATTAGCTTTCAGCTTGTCACTTTCAAACTTAGCACATTTATGGATAAAAGTGCTCTTGCTAGCACTGTATTGATTGATTTTGGGTAATTTAATTTTTCCTTGTCCAAAAAAAATTTCTTTTATAGTCTTAACTGCAATTTCTCTGATCAATGTACGTATAGATCACTGTAGGGGTGGCTACTTTTTCATTTAATTATTGCAGTGTTCATTTATTAATTTTGTGCTTGTTAATCAGGCTGAAGATGTTGACCTCATGGTAGAGAGGATGGAGGAACAGATGAAACAGCTAACAAAAGCTTATAGGGAAGAACTAACACAGACCGAGGTTTGTTTTTAACAGATCTGACCATCAACATACAATCAGTGAGAAAAATTTAAACCAACATATATATAAAAAAAAGTAGGCTTCAATTGAAAAAGAAAATACTGGATATGGTATACACTTAAAAAGGGTTAATAAAAGAATAATTTTTTTAGGCTACTGTATACCTGCATTAGCCTTAGTCTCCTTGTAACTGACTGCTGTCATGAACAGAATTGGTATGACTTGGTAGAAACAAAGTTACAAATGTTAGTGGAAATGGCTTTATTCAAAGAAAGCATTTTAAATTGCAGAAAGCATTTGTTACTGAGAGGGCTGAATTGATTGATAACAACAGAAAGAAATGGGATACTTCCATGCTGCAGAGACGTGACAAAGAGGTACTGGTTGAGAGCATTTATACCTTTCCTATCACTCCCGTGCTGGTTGGCAATCNATTAATTTTGTGCTTGTTAATCAGGCTGAAGATGTTGACCTCATGGTAGAGAGGATGGAGGAACAGATGAAACAGCTAACAAAAGCTTATAGGGAAGAACTAACACAGACCGAGGTTTGTTTTTAACAGATCTGACCATCAACATACAATCAGTGAGAAAAATTTAAACCAACATATATATAAAAAAAAGTAGGCTTCAATTGAAAAAGAAAATACTGGATATGGTATACACTTAAAAAGGGTTAATAAAAGAATAATTTTTTTAGGCTACTGTATACCTGCATTAGCCTTAGTCTCCTTGTAACTGACTGCTGTCATGAACAGAATTGGTATGACTTGGTAGAAACAAAGTTACAAATGTTAGTGGAAATGGCTTTATTCAAAGAAAGCATTTTAAATTGCAGAAAGCATTTGTTACTGAGAGGGCTGAATTGATTGATAACAACAGAAAGAAATGGGATACTTCCATGCTGCAGAGACGTGACAAAGAGGTACTGGTTGAGAGCATTTATACCTTTCCTATCACTCCCGTGCTGGTTGGCAATCACTCTAATCCGGCCATGAGCCTTCATACAGTCATCTGGGCTGCACCTGTCACACTGTATTAATGGTGAATTAGATATGGGCTGGATTGCAAGGAAGATCGAATCAGGATTGCCCAAGAATGCAGACGTATTTACAGTCGTCATTTTTCTTCACCCAGAAAGTAACGCCTGTGACCCCTGAGCCACAAAACAATTTCTGTGTAATATCAATTCACCACTTTTTTAGTTTTAGTTATATTGAGATAAAAATGCGAGTATGAGTGCATCAATTGTCATATTATTTTCCTTTCACTGTAGCAATTATTTTATGTCACATCGTACTACATGTATTTCAAGAGGTGAAGCCAAAGGTCCATAACTTTAGAACCATTTTGCCGTTAACCAAAGAAAGCAGCATTCACCATCACATGAAAGCTAGTCATAGTCATGAAATTCACATTCCACAGGGTACACTTTAAAAAAGTTCGTCAAAATCCAAGACACGCCAGTATGAGAGGTTAGCAACCAGCTGCTGACCCATTTGTTGCTTTGTATAATATTGTAGGTAGAATATATGGAGTCACGCCGCAAAAGAGTTGAAGATCATGAAAATCAGTTGCAGACTTTGAGGGTTCAAGATGCAGAGGAGTACAACATGGTGAAGATCAAACTGGAGACGGATGTACAGGTAGGTTTCCTGTGTTTGCCATTTAAGTCTCCATCAAAATTAATGTTTATGTTTTAACACAAAATAGAAGTACTGGGTACCTTGTATCCCGTAGGTTTAATTTTGGGAGGTTCCCAACAATTTATTTTATGAAAGCTCAACTTTGCTGTCCATTCATTACTGTCCTTTCCATTTAAGTATTATGTGCAGTGGGTACACTTGTCAAGTAATGATCCATTTTATAGAAAGCTGTTTTTTCCATCAGTGACACAGGCAGCCTGGAAGAAACAAATCTGAATACCGGGGGTAGGGGGCCACAGGACCTTCTGGTTACTACCCGACTGACTGCCCCTGGGTCTCCGAGGATGGATGCTCTACCACAGAGCTACAGGAGACTCGTGGGAGCTAAGGCCACTAAACTAGGTTCCTGTGACAAACATCCTGCATATACTGCTAGGACTGGAATGGCCATAATTACGTACTTTATATACACAATGATAGCAATATTATAGTGAATTTATAGCATGGTGAATACGTGTGAAATTTGTTGTTTAAGTCGGTGACACAGGCAGTTCAAATGAAAAACAGTTTTGTTGAATAGATTTAGACTACTCATGAGTGAAGGTGAGTTTTATTTTCCTTCTTGGTGTTTAGATTTTGGAGCAACAGCTTCAGCAAATGAAAGCCACATACCAGCTGAACCAAGAAAAACTTGAATACAACTTTCAGGTTAGTCAAATGATGTAAAACCTGTTTCTCATTATAAGCTGTTCTGATGTTAATGAAAATGCTTTTTATTGGCTCAAAGACTGTGATCCAATTTAATTTGGTTGAATAGCGTTAACTGTCATTCTGCCTTCCAATTCTGATCTGTAAGTCCAAAGTGGACATATGTACTGCTTTCAAAAAATGGTATGCTATCCCACCTTAGGAGTTCCCGATCTGGCATTATCTTTCACTCGTATCTTGCAGTCTTTTCCAACTACTAACTGACTTACTGGTAGTTGATACTTGAGTTAGCTTGCTGCTAGCCTACAATCGTGTCACATTTTAAAATAGCAGAGCTCAATAACAAAAAATAAATTAAGGCTTGTCCAGGACCAATTTGCTCCCTTGTTTTTGCAAATGATTTAGTTGGAGCCTTGCCCATCATGGGCAAGGGAGCTTTAAGAGTAACAATGCCCCGTAAGAAAATCTACAAGTCTTAAGTCTGTCTATCACAACTCTCCTCTGCAGTCATTTATTGGGTTGTTGCAACAACACCAAAAACGGCTGCCTAGGGGACCGTACAGGGAAGTCTGCTAGTTTTTTGGGATGCAAACTCTCTAGAATGGTAATCTTCAAGGTTACATTATAATCAAAAGTTGAGGAAATCTTCGTCTTACGTGGCTGTACCAAGCCTGAATTCAGCTATGAATTGGAGACAGACACTGACAACATCTTTGCAATTTACATAGCCTGTTCCAGGCGTTCAGATAGTAGAGCGCCGGAAAAAAATTGAGGGGAAAATAGGAAAAGGGGAGGCTCAGGGTGCTCGAGTTAAGAATGTTTACAGGCGTTCCCTTGCTCTCGCCCCATTCTCCCCTCGTTTTTTTCTCCCCGTTTACGATTTAACTCGGTCCCCATCATCTGACCGCCGTGCTCTACTATCTGAACGCCTGTAACAAGCTACAATTTACAATGCTTAAAGACCCTGAACTAAAAGGACAGGTCCACATAATCAAGTTCACTCTCAGTCATTTCTAAAAAAATTATTTGACTTGTTTTAGGTCCTGAAAAAACGAGATGAAGAAAACACGATCACAAAGTCACAACAGAAGCGGAAGATCACTAGGTCTGCATTCTTTAATAATATAAGAATATTACGTCCTGTCCCGACCCTCTGTGCACTCTGTATCTGATAGTTAAAGTCATTCGACGATCTTCCATCAAATCATCGATTGTTATAATAAATTTTGTGGTTTTTCTTTTAGGCTCCAGGACGTGCTTAATAACTTAAAACAGAAATTAGCCAAGCAAGAAAAGCAATATAGGTAAAATTGTTAAACAACTTGTCAGTGGTTTCTAGGAGGGTATAATTTAAACTTAGGTTTAAGAAGGCTAAGTGTCTGTTCATTGGCTTTTTGATAGGGAGGACAACCAAGCTCTGACAGATGATTACAAGAGAATTACTGAGCAGTTTAGAGAACTTCAGAAAAAGTCGAGGTGGGAAAAATATTCTCCGCTAACGTTTATAATTTTGGGTTTCTATGAGCAATACTCTTTCCCTATTTGTGGAATAAAGGACAGTACCACTATTTGACCTTCCTTTTCAGACATTTCCAAACGACAGATCAAAAGAAGTTTCACGACATCTGGGCCATGAATGAGGAGCAAGTCAGGGAACTGGTACACAGTGTTTTAGAGGAGGATAGAATTATACATGAGCAACAGCTGGGGTTGCCGTGGGAAGCCCCGGATCTGTAAGTACTATCCAATGGCCTGTGTCTCATTTTCACTACATTCCATCGATGTCATCGATTGCAGCAAAATCACCTATTTAAGTTCCGTGACTTGTAAGTTAAGGCCAGCTTTTTATCTGTTTGGATGTCTTAGGGGAACTTTGGTCGTCTTGGAAGGTGTAGGTGGCTTTTTCTTCTAATTCGAAACTGTTAGTTACCCTGATGGGTCTAATCGAAGTCCGATGACATGGAGTCGCCGTGCTTTTATAAAATTTTAAGGGAAGTTTTGTCTCCATACCGAAAGCAAATGCAAAGAAAAATCGCAATATTTTGGGAATAAAATGTGGAAAACTCAACTTCCGCAAAATCGTAGGAAAGTTAGTAGATAAGCTCCAATCAGTTTAAACGGATGTAGCCTCCCGCGCAGGCGTTTTTAGGGAAGTCGTATTGCTTCAGTCCCCTCCCCACAGCCGAGGCAACTGAAAAGTCAATTAGTTCGCGTAATTTTGCGTGGAAACTTCAGGAAATATTGGGTGTCATTGGAGGTGATGCTTTTCTTTCTACACTCCCTTTCCCTTCCCTTTCAAACGCCTGCCACGCAGACTATAGTAAAAAAATTTGGTTAAACTTCATTGTGGGTCTTTCTGCGAGAAAGTCAAATTTAATCTTTGAATGTTTGTGCAAGATCTTCAACCAAATTGCTTGAGCAAGTGCTAAGCAATATAACTCGGCCAATTTTACCAGGATCAGCCCAGTGGTAATGTCAACTTGTGAGTTACTTCCACCTCGCTAAGACTGCTTAGTGTCTGCTTTGATAATGCTGCTTGTTTTTCGGTGATGTAGTACTTCTTTTACAGAGATTTTATGAACAGGCCAGTGGAGTCAACTGCTGGACCCAAAAGGAAACAAATGTCAGCTACTCAGATGGCGCATGAGATCATGTCCGGAGGTTAGATGATATCAGCTCTTATTGACCTGTTGCTAGAGATACCAGCTCTTATTAACCTGTTGCGAGTGATACTAGCTCTTATTGACCTGTTGTACAGCACTCCAACAGTTTTGCTTTTATACTTGTATGTGTGTTTTATCGCGCTATTTTACCTCTCGCCACTTAAATTTTGACTTTTGATAGCATTGACGAAACTAGCCGTTGAAGAAGCGAATAAAATGCTGCATGGTTTGTTCGATTTGGTTGTAGAAATCTCGGATTTTGAATTGGCCATAAATTTTTATGGGTTTGTACACACATCGAAAGCAGTAAATTTTGCAATTTATCACCAACTCTGTAGGACCATTTGAGGTTTTTGCCTCTTTTTAAGTAACGAAACTTTTAATACACGTTAATTTTCATTGCTACCCCCAAGATCGCGTAGGTGACCCTTTACTGCTCCTTTTATAATTGTTATTCTAACATCTACTTGCAGTCGGAAACTCAGGTCACATCAGTATTGATATTATAGGTCTATTTTACTCTCACTTTAACTCTCCAAAAATCCGGCAGTTTAATTTCGTACGTTTTATTTGGGACGGACAATATTTGGACTTGATTTTGGGCAAAATAATAAATACCTTTCTCAGATACTATAGATAGGTTTTGTAAGCGTGCAGTCGAACATGGCTATACTGCTAAGTTCACTCCTATAACTGATTTGATACGACAAATAGATTTGGAATTTTGGAACAAGGTGACCACTGACAATCACTGTTTAAATGATCTTCTCCCCATGAAGGGTTCGCGGGAACTAAGAGACAGGGGTCATGATTAGTATACGTTTTGCAGCTTGGTAGGACTGATAGGTTCAAGCTGAATCAGTTTTATCAATAGATGTTAACAGCATCATCATCATCATCATCATCATCATCATCATCATCATCGTCGTACACAGCCGTCTTTGTGTCAACTAGAATGAGGTATGATGTAAAATGGTTTGACAGTCTAATTTTACTTTTCCACTTGACTTGTTTGTGTTATAGCTGGAACAGATGAAGGAGAGGATGATCTAGAACAAGGCTCAGGCGTTAGAGAATTTCAACAAGATGGGCAGATCGGTCAGGGAAAAAGGTTGTCATCCAAAACGATCAAGGCTATACTGGAGCTGATCTGCGATGAAGCGGTGAGTATATACGCACAGAATCCACAAGTGGGGTGAGGGACATGGCCCCGCCCTCGCTGGAAAAGTTTGAGGAGCTAAGTTTTCTGAAACCGCCGTCATTCCCTCATTCTTCCCTAAAACGGACACCTAGAGTTGGTCCCTGCAGTTTTTCAGCCATTTTCTTTGACTTGCTACATGGCAACCAAAAACCTATAACGGTCGCCTAGAGTTGTTCCCTCGTGTTTTTCGGTCATTTCCTTCGATTCTCGGTAAGGCAAACACCACCCTTATACGGACACATGGAGTCGGCCCCTGCCTTTTTCCAGCCATTTTCTTTGATTTTCTATTATGCTGGTCGGCCAACGGGTGTCCGTCTTAAAAAAAACTGACGTAGTTACGCGCCGTTCGATCAGGTATGTTCTTTTGAGCTGTTCAGTTATTAAATAAGGTATTTACGATCGTGTGAGGGGGTTTCTTTGAATTGTCTTAGCATGTCCTAAATCCATGTTAAAAACAAGACTGCCCGTTAATCAAACCCATGTAAAAGATCCAAGACAGTCTTGGATTCTGGATTCCACAATCAAACATTTTCTGGATTCCGCAATCCGGATTGCCTTACACGGGGCGACGTTTAAAGACGCTAGTTTTCCGTGCACAGATAATTATCAGGAGCGTGTTCCTGAAAGTCTTCTTTGGAAGAACCTTCGCACGCCACCCCTCCCCTCCCCCCGAAAAGTACCGCTTAGCAGCTTCCGGATGCAAAATTTTAAAGGTCATTCCTCCGAAAAATAGGAACGGACTGCACAGTAAAAAGCGAAGAACATAAGTATGAGGGCTTAAAATACTGTTTAATACTGTCATTCTTTTTACAGGGATTTCTTGTGGAGTCCAAACTAACCAAACTTCTTGCACCTCTTGAAAGGGATGAGCAGTCGCTAATGAAGCTTGACGCCATCTTTGCGGTAAGAAAGTTGTTGCGGTGTCTAGAATTTTAGATTCTTCTGCCTGACCCACGACCCACCCACCTACCCCCAATAGACAATCTCTCAATCATTGTAATGTTATGCGCTCAACATGTTTTGTCAACGTTGAATGCCATGGTAGTACCCTGTGTCGTAACCTTCGTTTTTTAATATTACTTTTTATATTGTTTTGAATGTTTTTTGATATATTGTTCTTTAAAAATAAAAATCACTGTCTAAAAACAAAGAATTTTTGAGCTTTGGAAACAACTGCAAAGCAATTGAAAAGCTCGACCCTGGTGACCAGGGCTGTAGCCTGTCCGCAGCGAGTGGCGAAGCCGTGAGAAGAATGGAGCAGAAACAACAGTTTTCATTTTTTTCTTGCAGACGCCTCTGTTTTAATTTCTTGCAGGTTCACCACCCATTTGCGCGCTCGCCAACCTCGTCCCCAGGGCTTTTGCCTTAAAAAATGGGTGAGGCGGGAAAAGGCCCACCCATTTTTTAAGGGAAAAGCCCTGGGGACGAGGTTGGCGCGCTCGCTAAAGAAAACTGCCAGCCACGCAGGCTAAATTTAGCCAGGAACCGCTAACCATATATATGAGCCCCTGACTTAACTCAACATTGTCACTAAGTTATCAGTTAGGGGAAAATGTTAAGTTGGGAGAGGGATAGGTATGCAGTTTTCCACAACCTTATAGCGCTCCTTCTTGTTATATGAAGGCCATGGGTGTAGACACAGAAGACGACATCTATCTACTGTCCAGCTACTTCCTAAACAGAGTTCCCGGGCTTGTGGACGGAGAGCAGGCGGCGCAAGGAGCCGAGAAAGATGTGAAGAAGGAAGACGTGGAAGGAGAGAAAGGAAGTTTGGAGGAAAAAGCTGTCGGGATGGATGAGGCAGAGAAGAAAGATGACGAAGGTTCTGTTGTTTACAGCGTAGATGACAAAGCCAGTGATTCATCATCAGTCAAAGCTCATTTGTCAGGTGACGTGTCCACGGATTTCCTTTAACATCGGGGAGCTTAATCAATAACGACGGCGACGGCTACGGCACGAAAACGTCACTTAAAAAGTAAATTCGCCCTGCTTTAAAATTCTTCGCTCATATTCCATCTCCCTCAATTCGTCAAATGTTGGCAAATTTTTCTGGAGTTGAATTCAGAAAGACTTTCTGAAAGTTCAGAAAAAAGGAAAGGAAAGTCACGTCACGTCCTCGACAAAACGTGAAATTATAAGGCATTTTACGTCGTACTCGTGCAGTGACGGCAAAGAAATGTACCAAAAAGCGTGATGCACGTACAATGATGTTATTTAGCTAATCTCAGTAAACCAATTGCTTTTTCGACGTTCTCGTTTCCGTCACCGTCGTCGTTGCTTAAGCTCCCTATTAAGCGACAGTGCGAAGAACCTGCCTCGTACCCAGACGTCTCTCTCTCTCTCTCTCTCTCTCTCTCTCTCGATGAAAATTTGGGCGCAAGGGAAGGTGGGAAGGAGTGGCCTCTCCTCCTTCTCGTTCCCATGGTCCCTTGCGCTTCGTCACCAGTCACTTGAGTTTCCCACTCGCCTCCGAGCGAAATTCGAAGCGCCTGAGGGGAGACAGAATTAGAATTAGGAAATTAAGTAGCGCAGAAAGAACTTGAATTTCCAACATTTGGAATTGTTAGTAATGAGGTTACAGATAAAAGCCATTCAGTGCTATAAAAAGAGCCATTGAAGTCACTGACCTTCATTTGCTTGATGAATCAAATTCTGAAGGAAAATTATTTTAATTCAGGATTCTGCATTTTCAGCAAGAGACGAAAATATAAAGATCATTTTGCGAACAGGCTAGACTGAAAGCATTTCATAGGAACACACCCCGCCGTGTCTGACTTCCCGAATGTTTTGGGACTTAAGAGATAGTATATTCTGTCGACTCGATGTTCGTCACGTCACCTCTTAGCATCGTTCAAACAAATGTTAAGGATTCGTCATTACGGATAATGCTCTAAAACTGGCCCCTTTCATTTTGTTAAAATAAGTTCCATGTGGTGAAATATACATCACCAAAGTGCATTATGCGTTTCTGGTTGCACGCGAGTACTTTAATCCACTCAGGTTATGGTCAGAGTTGAAGAGGGCGCTTTTTTTTCAGCCCTATTCTCCCCTAGCCTGCATAGGTAGCAGGATTGTTATGCGCGGGGTAGACTGTTCACAGCCTTTTTTCCCGTAAGATCGTCGAGATCAAGCGCTTTGCGTTACGGACGGCCATCTTGGATGAGTGTCAAATCTACTTAGGGGTAGGGGGGACGGTTAAACTCCGATGCTCGCCCCCTCGGTACATATGAAAGACGGCTTCCAATACAGGTAAGCTCTCGATCTGACGATCTTACGGAAAAAAATAGGGGACTGTGAACAGTCTATGCGCGGGTGTTATTTTTAAGCGCGGCGAATTCGCGAGTGGTTAACTTGTTCCTAATCTTCTCGCAAAACAGTACAGCATTCACAAGTTAATCTGCACTCACCCTCTAAACCACCAACCTCTCAGGCCATATACCCACCGACTGACGGCATTTGCTACTTTCTAAATACGCCTCTTCTTTAAAAACCAAATAAGGCAACACACAATATTTTATGTACGCTTATACGAAAAAATAGCCTGCACTACAGGTCAATACATCTCGTGGTTTTAAGATATGTTAAAATGTTTCTACACCACTTTCTGTCTCTGCTCCTTGAAGCAAAATAGGAATGTTTTATTTTTTTTAAATTCTTTTACAGAAATGACGCAACTTATTCACCCGAACGAAGTTGTTAGATCATTAAGGCAATTTGTGCAAGAAAACCGCCAGCCCCAAAAGTAAGTGTCGTTATTTTACTTGGACAAAATCCTGATTTTTCCACTTTGAAAAATACAGATTCGTCAACGCATTTTTTTTTGTTTTCTTTCAAGGGAGACTAAGCGTCAAAGTATAAAGCTTGGGACTGAAGTTGGACGAATTACAACGTATGTATACCTTTATTAGTTTTGATTAGATTAATCTACTAAAAATCCAATAATAGCAAAGTTATTATTATTGTTGCCGCGCAAAATAAATTACAGTAAGTAGCAGAAAAATCATACCAAATAGATTAAGAAGATTTAATTAAAATTAGTAAACAGCTTGGAAGGTGACTGTGGGAGGGAAATCTCTGATTGGGAATGTCAATTTTCCCAAAATCATTCGAAGGGTTCGTGTTGTTCATTTCGTGACATTTTGAAATGAGAAATGAACTTCCCGTTTCAATCATTCTTATTATCTCTACAGACTTGACGAAAGCTTTTGGCAAAAGATGTCCTCGGTAATCGACGTGAAGAAAGAGCGAGTATGGACAGCTTTGCTAGATGGGTTTGAGAAATATCTGGCAGTGTTAACAGAAAGGGCATCACTGATACAAGAAACAGATGCCCTCAGACAACAGGTGAGGACAGTGGTATAATCCAAAATTCGTAAAATAATGCAAAAATAACAACGTAATAGCCTCCCACGCAGACGTTCTTAGGGGTTCGTTACACGTTCCTGCCCCACTGGGGCAGGAACGCGTGACGAATCCCGAAGAACGTCTGCGGGGGAGGCTAAAAACGTAATGGAGGCGTGTATGGCCGAGCGATCGTAACACCTCGAACTCCGGATCTAGAGGTCCGGGGTTCAAGCCTCGCCCGTCGCGTTGTTTCCTTCGACAAGAAACTTTACTCCACTTTGTCTCTGTTCACCCAGGGCCCGGTTCCTGGAAAGCAGATTAGTGCTAATCCAGGATTTTGATCTTTTTTTTGTCTTTACCTTGCTTCCTTTTCAAGTTTCAATCCATGTCCGTCCTTGTCATCCGTAGTAACAAACGACAGGAAACAGTTTCAATACCTAAATAAATTCTTAAATAACAAAACGCGACCATTATTTTTGAAATTCAGTTGACGCGAAAGACACGTTTTAGGGTGGAAGGATAGCAAATGGCGTGTCACGCAACGCTCCTGTCCCTCGCTTGTGGGGAGGAGCGTTGCGTGACGACACTAAAAACGGCTGTGTAGCAGACTAGACATAGCCTCGTTAACAAATGTTTTCCTCTTTGTTACTTCAGAATGCTGAGCTAAGGATGTTACTCCATCAGTATGTGAACTCTAGGGTAAGCAGTACTGAGCTTTGTCCTAGTATTGTTTTTTTTTTTTTATAGTCGAACCTTTCCACAACGGCCACTTCGGGGACAGAAAAAAGTGGCCGTTGTGGAGAGGTGGCCGTTATGGGGAGAGAGGAGTGTTTTGTGACCATTTATAACTTTTATAACTTTTGGCCGTTGTTAAGAGGTTATTCTGCCGTTGTAGAGAGGTTTAAACTTAGTAGAGTCAACAAATAGACTGTCCGCCAGGACAAAGAGAAGTGGACGTTGAAGAGAGGTGGCCGTTAGCGGAGGTTTGACTGTAAAAAATCACATTTCGGTAATTTTTGACGTTTACATGTTTTTAAGGCCTAGCGACTCCACGCGCAAACCTTAGCCAACATATGTGTTTCCAAGAAGTTGCTTGTTTCCGTTGTGGGTTCGGTTATCGCCGAGTTAAATTCTAAATTCTAAACCAGAAGAGCTCCTCTGCCCCTAAACTGGCCTTAGTTTATGTGGGCGTCTTGTCCAAGGCATATCCTCAACATTCATTAGACGCCCTCTTTGGGGGAAAAACGACAGCAATATTAGATCCGGATATGAGGAACATGTTTTTTTACTTGACGTAGTTTTCTCTAAAACAAAAAGCGATTTTCCTTGAGGAGCAAATAGACGGCTTTACTTGAGCGCCATTATCTAAGGCTAAACCAATCACACACGTTTCCTTAGCTGTTCTTAAATCCCACTCCAAAAATCGGCTTCAAATTTTACATTGGTTACGTCTGTTGTGTTTTCTTTATTTCAAGCATTAGTCTTACCAATGGAAAATTGCTATGCCAAACTGTAAGCAGCTAAGTCACTATGATGGAAGTGACTAGATTTGTATTACTACTTTTAGGTAAACCAAGAACTGGAGATACCTCCAACAAGAATACTTCAAGCAGAACTCTCAAAGGAACATGAATGAATGAACGCTACATGACGTGTCGTTTTTCTGTAGAGATGTATCATATTTATTAAATCCGAAATCGTTGCTTTTTGAGGATAAGGCTTCTTGTTTCCTCTTTGCTTTTTCCGCATATCGCATTTGTCCTTTGGTACTGAAATTGCACAACGCAAGCGAGAGTCACTGCAGCCGTGTAAATTCTTAAACCAACGCGTGCTGGACACGTTTCACCGCTCGAGGACATCGAAAGATTAAAGAAACCACACACTGAAAAGCGACATTGATAAAATCAATAAATACAATACTGAGAAACAGTCCCGCCTTCGACCGCCATGTTTTTGCTCCTTCTCAAAAACCGTTGATCTTTTGTTTTTGGCGTAATGCGCATGATCAGTACACAAATCGGCTGGCAAGACCCATGATGATCCCTTTGCAACCTTTGAGAATATCGTTTGGATTCATTTAAGAGAATGTATGGGAAGTAGCTCCCACCACCCCCCCCCCCTATATACAGCTGTTTTAAGCGCACGCGACATTCTCGAAAGGTAATATGGGATATGTTCAATACACTGTTGCCGACACTGCAGCTGTCGAACTTACTTTTATTGCTTTCCTTCAGCACTCGCAAACATACAAATTTCTTTGAAAAACGGTGAACTCAAAACCACCCGCAATACCTTTCGGAATTGTCGCGTGCAATTTTTTCGACAATTTTTCTCGAAATAGCTGTATTCACTTTTAGTAAGAAAGAAATATGGAGCATCTGATTTTGCAGTTCGGTAAGACTAATAAACATACTTTATTATGCAAGTCATTCGTTCCATGTATATCAAGGTAAAAGGGAATGTATACCCCAAGCTATCCCCTGATTGGTTTTGCATCAGTATTTAAACCACTTTTGCGTTAAACAGCCCCTCATTCGCAGTCAGTAAAGAGTAAGAGAGTCCACCATATTTCACGGCCCAGTTCCCCCCCCCCCCGGCCTCCCGAGAGATCTGTGTTCGGTCTCCTTCAAAAGACACTCCGTGTCGTTCCTTGTCTACGCCGGGGTGTCCTTAATCCACAACAATGATACGCAGATAAAATAGAGGCAATGTAAGCGTAAAAAGTTGAACCGCGCTCAACTTCTCGTTTAAACTCAGCACTTTTTATCCTTCCTCTATTTTATTTTACGTGATTAGAATTTACGTGGGTTAACGTGCGTAGCCGAAAAAGCGTCAGTGGAAATCAACTTTTCAAGTGTGAGGCCGTTTGTAAACGCTTATAGTTTTGCGTGTTTTTGTCTAGTTTCGACACCAAAGCGATAATTGAGGTTTTCGAGGGCGTTCTCCAAACTAGAGTCCTCAAAATTGGGATGAGGCTATGTGGAGGGGCAAAACCGAAGGTTTTGGAAACGCCACATTATAGCCACTCATAAATGATATGTTTACAAGCTAGTGAATCGTGAGAATAGACGGAAGTATCGCTTGCGCTACTAAAGCGAGCACACTAGTGTCGTAAATGATCCCCACACCGCAAATGATTTAGAAAATGGACCGCAAATAATCCCGAGAGGAAAATTGGAATGGCTTGGACTAGTGTTACTGGATCATCGTATAAAGTGGTTACCATAACAACAAGTATTTTAAAAACTAAATAAATTGGCCTCACAAATAATGGAAAATAATAATGAAAAAACATTTTTAGCCGCGAAAGTCTCTGAAACCAGAAATTACTTATCGGACCCATCCGAGAACAGCCTAAAAGCATATCGCTAGACACGTGTTTCGGTGTGTAGACGGTACAAAACGATAAGAAAACATTACCATGGATGCGGAGCTTTCGATACGCTTTTTTTGTTTGACAGCAAAACAAGGAGTCTTAATGAAAACCCATTAAATGTGGGCAAGGAACCTAAAGGACAGGTGCTAAAGGCATTATTTGTTATATGAAGCAATTAAGACCAATTAAAATGAAGTAAAACTCGTCGAAATATCCCTAAAAACAAAACAGCTGGTAATTGAACAAAGCGATTCACAAAGTGGCGCAAAACAAAACATTAAAACCGCCGCAAGGCTACGCTACAATTAGTCATTTAATAGAAAAACCTGTTAATTTGTTATGTCGACTTTAGGACATTCAGGCTGAATTAAACTGGAGGCTG